ATTATTAGCAATGTTCTTCCGAAGTCTGATTTCTTTTTAAAAAATGCGTTTCTAAAGTGCATAAACCTTTGGGATTGACTGTATAGCCAATACAACCTTAAGGTTGGTTAATATTGGTTAAGATTTTATTATCCTTGACCTTGATTTGCAAACTTTTTGCAAACGCTACCAAGCGAATAACTACGATCTAGTTTAAGAATTTCTCTATGCGGATCTTTTCGGATCAAACGTGAAAACGTGAGAAGACAGAAAATTTTCTTACGGACGCGAATAATAATCGTAGGCGATAGAGACGATGAATTTTAATGAAAGCGGGCACATCGAGACGAGTCTGCGAGTATTAATTCTCGAAGAAGCGCGGCGGGATAATCCCGACGACTCCCAAACGTCGCGACTCTAGCCGTGATCGCGTCTAATGACCTCGAGACGACGATAACGCCGGGACGTATTTAGGGAAACGGTAATTATCACGGCCTCGGCCGGTAGTATCAGCCGCGGCTGTGATCAAGGGAATTGCAGGCGACGGGAAAATCCTGGCATCAAATTGCTGCAGGTTCGTTTGCTCTCGCGATCAACGGGCGTAAAACGCGTTAAGAGCATTTATGAAATCCCCTCTAGGAACCTCGACGAGCGACGGAGGAAAGCCGAGAAAAGCTCGCTCACCTTCGATCAGCTGATCCAGCATGGCGTATACGTGCGACGTGGCCTCGTCGGTCATCACCCAACCACCGGTGGTCATTTCCAGTCTGCCGTCTTTCACGAGCCTCTTCACCACCATCTTCTTCGTGGGATGCGCGCTGGAAATAGAAAATAATTCTCGTCGCATCCTTCGAACGTTCAAGTACTCATTATTTCGTGGCGAGTACGGTACGTTTTGCGATACGTTCCGAGACTCGCGAACGGAGGTGTACCGTAATGGTGAGTTACGTCGCAGACAGCGGCGGCCGAGTAACGCCGCAGCTTGTAATTTCCCGCGATACGATCCGCGATACAAATCATATTTATAGCCGAGGGCGCGTTCCACTCCCGGCTGGTATTACGGTTTACGCGATTCCGGTCGGCAGCCTTTTCCGCGTTTCGCGTCACTTCCACGAATTCCGTTTCTGCTACGCGATTTAGCCAGATCCCAGAGGAAGTCGTCGATCCCCGGTAGGACGACGTGTTTAGGTCTCTGCTTTCGCAAGGATCGATCCACGATTCGCACGGAGTTCATTTATTGAACCGACGTTGCGACGCAGAGGGGTCGAACCGAATCCGTTTCGATCACGGAACGATGCTCGTATTGCCCTTTGTCCCGGAATTTGATTCCCCGTCGATTCGCCGAACCAGTCCCTTCGCTCAGGGGCTCTTGTCTCGTCGCCGATTCCCTTTTATGTCCGCAATGCTTTCTCATCTTCGTCCTACGCGTTTTTCTCGAGCGTTAAAAAAAAGGGGCAAAGCCAGCGGATATCCCGGCGTCGGGACGCTCTAACCGTTCTTTAGAGCCTCGGCCATCCCGGCACCGTTTCGCTCCCTTAATGGCACTCTTTACGACCGTCGTCTTCCCGAAACGCGTACGCGCGGTAGCTTCTAACGCGGGGATAAAAACCGACGGTTACTGCGGGGCTTTGTGGCCGGGACGATCGAACCGAGACCAGAGAAAATGGGGACGATCTCTGGAAACGCGGTTGTTTGCCATCGCTCTTGTTTAGGACGGGATCGTCGTATTTCGTTACTCACCTCTCCCACCAGAGAGAGAGGAAGGACACCTCGCTCCAGATGAAGGTCATGTTCGGCCACTGCTGGAGTTTCGACACCATGTTGTTCAAGATGCTTCTCGTAGAGCTGTGGAAGTACTGCTCGAACGTCTTTAGCCAGCCCGGGTCCGTGTGGCTGTGCGGCATCAGAATCACCTGCAATCGCGGAGAGAGAAAGTAGCGTCGAGAAGAAACCTCGCTCCCGAACTCCAAAGGGGTACTTTTTTTTACGAGGAAAGGGAAGCTGGAGTTTGGGAAGCGCGATTACATGGAACTCGAGATCGCAGATCCGTACCCGGAGCCGATCGATCGAACTTATCGGTTTCGCCGAGGAACGGCTATTGAGAGTAGGGTCGATGGGAAACGCGATACACATATATCCATTATCCCGACGAAATTTATTGGCTCGTTACTCGCCACGGAGGCGTATTACTCGCCCGGATTAATCGAATTATTCAAATTCATCGGTACCTTAACGAATTTCGAGCGCAGCGGTTCTCTCCTCGCTTTGGAAATTCGTTAATTAGGCTACGGCCGGTCTCGCCGCGATAACGACGTTACCCTTAATTGATACACTGCCGGCCGAGCCGCAGACCCCGGTGTCAACGTTGCCCGTAAAACAATTTGCGGGCCTCGTTACAATCGGGCAACGCGCGATCGGCGTACCACTGCTCTGCTTCCACGGAGGATCGGGAGACTCGATCGTTTCAAAGGATTTCACAGGATTTACGGCACCCGTTTTTCCGGTAACTAATGCAACGATTAACGTCGACGCCAGCGGCGACATGCAGATTTTAGGGGCGATTCGAAATTGCATTTGAAATTCGTCGAAGTCAATTTGATTTGGCCGGGCCGAAAGTTCGCGTTAATGAAAATTCATACTGATCCGCCTCCCGCGCTTCAATTTTTCCCTCTCTCGGCTTTTTTCCTCTCCTTCCTTTTATGAATATTTAACGCGGCGCGCTGCCTGTTTGATCTTTCAGGCTGACTCGACCCGCTCGATCGCGATGGAAAAAAGACGACGCGCGAGAACCGCTGCCACAAAGAGGATTACGACGACCCGATATCCGTCTCATGATCGTCGCGTCAAACCGTCGGACAAAAGCTACGAACGCACTTTCTCTCTCTTTTCGATGCGTAAAAACGGAAGAGAACCGACGGCACGCTCGCAAACCCGCAAAATTTCACCGCGTTCCCGAAGGCTCCCGCGGCTCGACGACTTTGTCTCGAGGTTTCGCGTCACTCTTTGCCTGGCAAAAGTGCATCGCGAGCTCTTCGGGTTAATTTCCGGCTTGGGAACTCGTGAACTTCTGCGACTTCCCCGGTCTGACGCGTCCCGCCGCGAGAACTAAAAGCCTCGGTCCTCATCGAGCTCGTTTCGGGAACGAGGCGAACGTTCGCCCCGATCGAGGGTCGATCGATTCGCCTGCATCGAAAACTAGTAACTAGGCGACGATTCCGAGAGAGCTAGTTAAGGATCGAGGAAAACTTTGTACCTCAGTACTAGAGCCCCATTTCATTTATGCGCTAGTACTTACTATACCGCGAAGGCTGTCCATAGTTTAGACGTTAAAAATCCATAATCTGTACGCTATAAATTAAATATGACTTCGAAACCAGAACGCTCGTTGTTCCGTTCTCGACGAGACTGTAACGCCATTGAAAGGACGGTAATCGTACGACCGAACCTGAAACGGTAGGACAAATATTTGGCCGGAAACGCTTCCGGTAGGGAACCGATTTTCGTCTCGAGTCCCGAGAGGCACGATGCCCGGTGATCTTTCCACAAACGTGTCAGCGGCAGCGCGATTTTTAAGCCGAATGGGCAAGGATTCATGGCAGGAACTCGGTGAGAATATTAGGAGAGCGCGCAGTTTTTAACTTTTTTTTGTACAACGAAGCGCAGCGTTTTTTTCGCGCGGATAAATATTGGAAATGCGTGGACGAGAGGGTTTCCGAGGGATTTCGACGAAATTCTGATGGCATTTTTACTGCCAGTGGCGAGGGAGATCGCACAAAGGTCGACTCGACGACCGCGACATGCGGGAAATTACGTACTCGCGCAAAGGATGGACTTTTCTCTGGGCAACGACGCGGAATTCCGCGGATCGTTACGGTCCGTCGAATCGTCCGGCGAACTTTTCGAGCCTTTGCTCGGGGTATTATCAACCGAGGTCAGAGACCGTTTCCGAGTTCTTTCGAGGGCCATTGACCATGCCGGTTAACCCATTTTTATGTACGTCGTACGTAGGAACGACAGACGTTAGGGACAGGAGAGCTGTTTTCGATTTAATTTTGCGCGCGACGGAAACGGGTAGGGTACGAGAGGTAATCGTGACGGGGATTGACAACGGGAATCCGCGGAGATAAGGTGGACAGAGTTAACGAAGACAATATTACTTTCAACGGTGGCCTCGTCGGATCCTTTCTCAGCTCCGTGTAGCGGACCTCGAAGCTGTCGTCCCAGTATTCCCTACTGCGCATCCACGACGGCTGCAACAGAAAAGAAACGAATCAGTCGGGTCTACATAAAAATTCACGATGACGACGTTGAACGAATCGAGGATGCGGTCGGCTCTTTTAAACACGCGATTCGATTTGACGAACGATCGAAATTTATCAGGATCGTCGGGAGTCGATTGATACCGACGACGGTCTATTTCCTCTCGGGGCGGGTAATAGTCGAGGCAATCGCGCGTCAAAGGAGACGCGTGAGCGACGCGACAGGGACGTCTGCGAGAGCGGAGGAGGCAAATGAGTGCATCCACTGCGCTAAGCATTCCTTTGTTCCTGACGCGTGATTGACGCGGAGCGGTTCACGGTTTCCAGCTTTCATCCCTGTTCCTTCGAACACCGAGGGAGCGTAATACGCGCGATTGAGCCACCTGTTCCGAACAGACGAGCCCTCCAACGTTTCCTTCCCCTTTCTCGAAAACGACGGTGTTCATTAAAAAATACACCGTCGATCGACCATTACGGAGAACGTACTATCAAACATTGCCTCGTTACGCCGATTCGATGACCCGGAGTTACGACGCGAATCGTCGATCGGGACGTTCGAAATGCAGATAATATTAGGACGAAAGCGCGGACCCGTGGCGAAACGATGACACAGCCGAACGTACGAAGGTACGCACAGGAGGGTTTTCAAAATCAATTTTCGATTCAGCCGGCTAGAAGAGGACCGTGATTCTCGCTCGCGAGCCGTATTTTCGATTTCCATTAGAGCGTATTCCCCGGTGCGGCGTCCGCGCACACGGAGAGCGCGGCGTACGTGACCCAATCGAAAAGCCGATACCTCAGAACCGTACGGAAGGAGAGGGTCGCCCCCGTTCGCCTCTCGTTCATCTTCTTTCGCGTCGAAGTCATCGTCGTCGCGGTCCCCGAGCTTTCGTCGAACACGTTCCAGATCTTCCGAAAGCTCCTCCCGCTTCCCTCCGTTGCCCCGCCGGAACACCGGATGTTTCAACGAAAGGAAGATGGATTTTCTCGATAACGAGCCGCGACAACTTCGACTCGTCGAGTCGAATCTGCTCCGGATAGCTCAAGATCGAACTGCGGTTCGGCGAGGTAATTTTCTAAGGCGGAACCTTGACAAAGGGTTTCCCGCTCGATGCGATTTTTTAGGTTTCTGGGTCGGGAGCACGCGAGAGGAAGCGCTCGTATGGTTTCCGCGATTAGGCCATCGATTTCGCGATCTCGCAGAGGAGGGAATGCGTCCGAACCGATCGATATCGTCTCACGACACGTAGACCTTGACCGAATCTCCAAGTAACGCGTCTTCTCGTTTTCGAACTTCGGTTCCGGAAGTTGCCCGAGCGAGAACACCGCGACACCCCATTATCGGCCGTTTCCACTCCACCGGTCAGGCCGGATCAATGGCCCGACCTTTCATCGGTTCTTTACGACTCGCGCGATACGTCAATTTCGTTTTTCCACCGGTTATCTACTTGCCGATAAATTACTGCACGTCCAACTTTACTCGACAACGATTCGCGACGAATCCTCCGATGAATCGTAAAGCGACGTTTCGCGTCTCGTCGTTGAAATGCACCGGCGAAACGAGCTCACCATTAGGAACATGCATTATGCCAGAGGTTCCCGGGGCGTAAATTTTGTTCGAACCGGGAACGGCGACGCGTGACTCGACGATGCGTCATCGGCCGATAACGCGTCCCTGCAATTTCGCGCGTATTTTCGGCTAAAGTAATTCACACCGGGGTCCCATCAGGGCGTATTACGCGGCCACGCTCGATACGCGATTACGCACCTTTAATCCCGCCCCCTCGATTCGCAAATTTTCGAATTAATTAATCGGGGAACAACGGCGCACCATTTCCCGTTATCCTCCCGTTCCACGGGATCTTCCGTTATACACGTCGGAGCAAAAGTCGAGAGCGTAGCGAGTGTGCAGATGTTTCCAGAGGCTGGCTAAAAACGCGAAATTGTATACACCGACGTACTCGATTCGGGCAGATTTTTCATTTTTATGGATCAGAGCTCCGCGGACAGCGAAATTTACGCGAACGGGGGAAGAATATCTTGTAATTGGATTCGGAACGATTCGAAACTCGCTGGCCGACAGAGTTTTTAATTAAGGGACAGTACGGCTTTTTTCATATTTTTTAAATTGTCGGGGGGAAACGTTTCCCGTTGGAAAATGTATCTTCCCGCGGGTCGTTTGGACGGGGGCCAAAAGAGAAACGGAGGAAAATTCAATTTCGCGCGATAATTATTTGCGCGCGAGCGTTTCTGAAAATATTCGTTTCAAGACACCGGAAAAATTTGCCCCCGCCGGGAAACGTCCTCGTCGTTGCGTTCAATTCCAACGGTCTCTCGAATATTACACCGACGTTCTATTTTCCGCGTCGTTTTTAAATCCATCGTTTTCAATTTCTACCGAGCTCCTCGAAAATTGGAGTAATCGACGTCGGCGCGGCATCGGGAACGATTATTTTTTTACAGTTTCACGATCGAACGAAATCGTATCGATCTCTCGTCTCGCGGGAAGAATAAATCAGAAGTCGAAGCATAATACGATTTAGCCGATTGAAACGCGCGGCGTACGTTCGTTGGAACGAGCAAACACGGTCTTTCATTTATTTAAACAACGTCGTTTCCGCGTGACGAGAGAACGAGAAAGATACGGGATTGTTACGACCCGGTCAGCCGTGATGCGTAAATATTTTACGAGCGCGATTGTTCTCTTTCGCGTGACCATTTCGCCCCGTTTACGACTTAAGAATCCCGGCATTATCCTCCGGCCACGGGAACGCGGCCCGTCCTTCGGCCGTATAACGAACACGAGTACCTAGTACTCTTCATCGAACGCGATAAACGCAATCAACGTTTACGCTTCGGTGAATCTTTACCTCTCCGGCTTTACGCTCGTAAAAACGTAAACATAAACTTTGAGTCTCGGATCGGATAATGACGGGAAGAACGCGCGTGATCTAAATTTATATCCGGGATTCACTAGGACACGAGAGCGAACGATGCCGTATTTTCAAGACGGATGAACCTTGGACCATCGATAATGGACAGGGTTTAATAAAATTTTACCGGGCAAGTGGACGGGCAGGGAAGAGCAGGGTGTGCGTCGACCGCATTACTCGTTCGACCGGCGAACACGTCGAGGGTAGAGAGCCACGGTAGGGCAGGGCACGTTTCACTAGCCACGAGTAATGCCGGATCCGTGGCATCGACGACGGGGCCGATCCGGCATCGGCCCGCACCGGTTCCATACTTCGCCGAGACGTCGGAACCCGGCGAAATCAGTGCCTCGATCTTTATAGCGTATTACTGTTTCATCGTCACGGCACTGATTTCGCCGGGTTCCGACGTCACGGTGACGCACGGGGCCGCTACGAACGGTGCGGATTCTGCATAACGAAAAGCTATTTAACTTGCGGCTGCGACGGACTTCCGTCTCGGTTACCACCGCGCGTGTTTCCATCCCTTATGCCCCGGCCGACCTGCGCTCGCCTCGTACTACACGCGATTATGCCACCACCATAATTTCGCTACGACCCTTACTACGTTCAATCTGAAACGTTCGGAAGAGAAGCAACGATACTTCATCGTTACGGTACGATTCTCAACTCCGGTTTCAACCGAGAGACCTACGAAAACATCGCTCGGACGCCAGGTCCAACTTTTGCCCGTGACATAAATATTAATACGGGATTTGAAATTCGTGAAACGAACCGAATTTTGAAACGCGGCAATTGATTAATCAGCGTTACCGCATAATGAGCAGCGGCGAGACCCTGATAACGATAACATCGGCAGCGATTCTATATAAATTCGTGACACGCCGGTGGCGCTTACATACGTTCGGTAAACGTGCACGCGCACACGGCCCCGTTCGCGACACGTATTAAATTATTGCTAAGGAAACAGAGAGGGTGCGACTATGGCGACCGGCAAACTTTCTGTTTACACTGCTTCGTACGTACGCTCTATACCCTGTACTATACGAGTTCGCCTGACCCGCAAACTAGTTTCCCGACCCTCGAGGTAACTAGCGGCGGCGGTCCGACCACGTATACCGCCGCGAAAAATACTTATGTATTTTTATACGTACGGAAACTCACTGCACGCGTCGCGACGACAGTACGCGTTCGCAGTACTTTTAAATTCAATTTGTAACGCAATAACAACGTACACGGTGTACGTTTCAATCGAACGATCAAGTTCGCGAATTCGGTCAATACGTTTTCGTCGAATCGAGAAAGAGAGAACGAGGGGATGAACCGCGGGAGGTACTTCGACACTCGGACCAGCTTCCGGGGTAATAGAAAAAGTTTCCCTTGGCCGGGTCGTATCACGACTGCGAGAGCCCGGCCATCGCGACGATGTCTTCGGTGCCATTCGATCCTTTGTCTCGTCTCCGGAGAATTTCAGACTCGGCAAGTAAAAAGGTAGAGGCAATGAAAAGGAGGTGCCGTACCGTCGACGGCATAATAAAAATCGAGAGGACGCGATCTTCGCTTTGCTCTTCTCGATCTCGCGTTCAAGAAATAAAATCATTTGTGCACGGAATCTCGGCGTCGAGGTAGGAAACGCGGAACGACCGTTCGAGGATCGAACAACGCGAAAGGCGGACGAAACGGGAAAGTTTGTCAAACGTTAATCGTGACGAGACGAGAGAGAAAAAGTTGGACGATCCAGGCAGGCCCGCGTTAAAAGCCGTCCCTGCCGCGTCCTTTACCCCTTCGTTCTCTCCTCCGCGGGGCTCTCTCTCTCTCTCTCCTCGGGAAACGACAAAAACGTCTCTCCCTTTGACTTCGGCCCGTCCCGCACCGCGGCAAAGTGCAATTCCCCGTGTTAAACGTGCCGAAGTGTCGGAACAGCCAGACAAAACCCAGCCATCCGGACGCGCGCGTCTCCCCCTTCCAGAGTACTCGGAAAAAAAAAAAAATTTCTACGACCGAGCGAATTTTGTTGTACGCTCCAACACTTTGCTCCTCATCGAAATTCTCGTTCGTCTC